GAGCGGTTTTGTAAGCACACAAGCTATTTTTTTGTCTAATTTTAAGCCAACCGCACTTTTACTGCATAGAAACTTTCACACTTGAGCAGTCTAACCCCCTGTTGCTCAGGGAAAGAAAGGGACAACACCCACCGAGGGCACTACGGTGCAGAAGGGTTCAGAAGAACAAGGTGGGAGCTTTGGCACGGTCCACCCTATGGACACTGACCCAGAAGGATCAGAGTTGGAATGGGTCTGTACTGAAATCACTGTGAAGACAGCAAGAACTGCTCTGCTAAGACCCTGAAGAACTTCTTTACAAGATCCCTTAAACTGTGAATCTTTAGCTCCTATCAATCAAATAAACTCCTGTTGGTACAAGTAGCATTTCCACCAGGGATTTGTTTGCTTATATATTAATGCCAGCCTTCCTATAAGTGGAAATAATTCCATGTGCTGGTAGATGTACCAATCTGAGTGAAAAGATGAGCCATTGCTAACAGCGTGGCAATGGGGAAAAAGCAAACTCAGTAGGTGCAGGCAGGTCCACAGAAGCAGGGTCTGAAAGCATTGTGTCCAGAACACTATGCATGAAGACCTGCTATCAAATATGGGAGATTATTTTTCAGGTGCGAGAAACTGGTAATCACAACAAAAATGTTAGCTCTGGTCCTGTTTGTACCCTATAAAGACAATACTTTACCCTTCTCTCTGCATCAAACAGCATTTCTCTGCCTCCTTAAACTTCCCAGAGAGGTGGATCACACCAGTATCATAACATACCAGCATCACCAGGCTGCCAGCAACTTGTTTTCAAGGTGAGGCAGAATAAAGTGAGATCCAAGACAATCCGACTGCTGCCTCATCAGAGCAACACCAGAGCCATTGCTGTGGGTATTACTGGCCAAAACAACAGCCAGGAGCACATCAGGTACAGGAGGAGGAGAAGGGGATGGGAAAACAGGTGCCTCAAAGCACCTTTTTGTTGAAAGCAGCGCCTAAAACAGCAAGCGACTAAGGGAAAAAAACCAGTCAGGCAATGGCTGAGGCTGATCAGTGTCTCTGTGAAATATAATTGGCCATAAACATTCATTAAACACACCTATCAAGCACAGGCCAGTGTGCAATTTAGCTCACTGCTAGGATTCAACCGTATCTGTGGGGAAAAGGAGCACGGGCAGCTGCCTCCAGCGACACGACCGCACGCATCGAGGTCGGCTCCGGTTGTCTGTGCTTGACGTATGCTGACAAACGCGCTCGTCTGATCCTCCTTGTGCTTTCCCAAGAACTCCCAGCCACACAGGG